CAGCTACTCGGGAGATGGAGGCAAGAGAATCACCTGAACCCAGAAGGTTGCAGTGAGCCGAGATTGCACTCCAGCCTAGTGCAACAGAGGGAGACTGCACTCCAGCCTAGGCGACAGAGGGAGACTCTGTCTCAGAAACAAAAAAAAAGAATTGACGGTCCCAATAAAGATATAATTTGAAAGAGAAATGTAAATTAAACTTATAGAAAGACATTTTCAGTAACTTGGATATAAAGGTTATGATTTGCTTTAAAGAGAAAGGAAAGAAGAAAGAAAGGAAGGAAGGAAGAAAGGAATGAAGGAAGGAAGGAAGGCAAGCAGAAAGGAAGGAAGGGAAGGAAGGAAGGAGAGAAGGAAGGAAGGAGAGAGAGAAAGAAAAAGAAAGAAAAGGAAAGAAAGGGGAGGGAGGGGGAGAGAGAGAAAGAAAGAAAAAAGAAAAAAGGAAAGAAGAGGGAGGGAGAGAGAGAAAGAAAGAGAAAGGAGGGAGGGAGAAAGAGAAAGGAAGGAAGGAGAGAAAGAAAGAGAAAAGGAAACAAAGGAAGGAAAAGGTCATGGTGTCACAGTCTTGATCTTTGGGAAACTGACCACCCAAGATTCCTTAGGTGGTGGTGACAGAAAGTAGCCAGCAGTCAACACCGTGGACCTTTCAGCATGGAGGGATTTGATTTGTGTCCCAGCGTTCTGGCTCATTTCAGCCTATGTGAGGCTCCACCTCAGTCCAGCAGAGCGTCCCAGTTCAGAGTGCAGGGAATCCTGGCTGAGCAGTTTGTCCTCTGTGGCGTTTTTGCCTTGCACTGCTCGGCTTGCCTCCCCACTGTGTGCTGCTGCCCATGCTCTCTAGTGCAGGGCATTGCTTTCCTTCCAGATTCAGGCCCTGAGGCTCCACTTCCCCAAGTGTCCCCCTCCGCTCGCTCCTTTGGCAGCAGGCGCCCCAGGGATGGGTTCACTGATAATGACACCCTGTTCGGCCCAGCTTTGGCATTCTTTTCTCATATGTGGTCTGCGTGGTCAGGTTGCATCAGGTGTGGGTCCTGCCTTTTAGGCAGAAGCAGCAGCCTGGAGTCCTCTGTCTTGCATCTTAGACAGACAATGTCTCATTGACACAGCCCCCTCTTTCCACAGTCAGCCCCTTGTTTCCTGTCCTGAGTTGTTGTTATTTTCTCTGGCCATTTCTTGCATGTGTGCAGTAGGTCAGGGTGTATGTCTTGGTACTGGATCTGATCCCTCTCCCAGTCCTTTGCCTCTTCTTCCATATTCTCTAGGCAATAAAAGGTGCCTCTTCCTATCAATCTTCCAAGCCAGAAAGCTGAGATTCACCCTTGTCACCTCTTTCTCTGTCACCTCTTACACCTGTTCAATCACCAACTCTAGTCTACGTTCAATTTTATGTGCGTCTGCCTCTCACCATTCCCACTGTCTCTGTCTTAGGTCAGGTTCTTATGGATTCTCACCATGACAACTAGAAGAGGGTCCTAGCAACTGTTTTTTCTTCAAGTTTTGTCTCTTATTTCTTTATTTATTTATTTTGAGACAAGGTCTTACTCTGTGGCCCAGGCTGGAGTGCAATGGCTCGATCTTGGCTCACTGTAACCTCTGCCTCCCAGGCTCACGCAATTCTGGTGCCTCAGCCTCCCAAGTAACTGGGATTACAGGCATGCGGCACCACACTCAGCTAATTTTTTGTATTTTTCGTGGAGATGGGGTTTCACCATGTTGGCCAGGCTGGTCTTGAACTCCTGGCCTCAAGTGATCTGATCTGCCTGCTTCGGCCTGCCAAAGTGCTGGGATTACAGGCGTGAGCCACCACGCCTGGCCTAGTTTTGTCTCTTTTTAATTTATCCCACCATGCAGCGTCCAATATAATTTTGCTAAAGCTCAAAATCATTCTGTTTCTCTCCTTTTAAAAATCTTGCAAACATTCTGCATCGTTTCTGGCATGAAATGGAAGCTTCTCTGTAACCTGACCCCTGTCTACCTCTCTGGCCTCGTGGTTTGCCATGCTGAGACTTCCTGAAAACCAAGACTCAGCCTTTTGGTACTACTTGTGGTTCCTTAAATGTGCAATTCTCTTCCCTGATTTTAATGAAGGAGGTGCCCACTTGGTAAAGCACAATTTCCCCTTGTTGTAAACCACAGGGCAGAGTGTAATACTATGAATGTGGGCCCATCCCATGACAACTGCAGGGATTCATATTTAGAACAATTAAGAAAAAACACTATGTAATTTCCCAGTTTTTCTTTTCTTTTCTTTTCTTTTTTTCTTT